GTTGATTGAACTCAGCCATCTGCACTGTCAGTAGACGCAGCTTCCGAAGGACAAGGCAGAAAGGGCAGCCAGTCGCATTTGCTTAGAGACCACTAAGCAAGGCAGAAGCTAAGTCCAGACAGTAGATACCAGTCTGGTCTCCTCAGATTACCAGAGCTGCCAGCTCCTGTGACTTTATTATTATATTTGTTTTTTCTCTTCAAGCCCCAGCTCCTGGATTCAGGTGATTTCATGAAGTTCTTGGTTTTTAAGCCTGTTGGGGACAAAGGCTTGACAAAGTGACTTGAGTGCAGCCTAAAGGCTCCAAAGCCAGAAGGCAAAGAACAAACCCACATTCAGTATGGTCCAAATCCCATGGTTTTTAAGCTAATCTCAGGTCTGGTTCATGATTTTTGAGCACTGGAGACTGGTGAGACTAGATTCCACCAAGGTAGATAATGGCTTGGGAGAACCCCTGCTCTTTCCTCTGTAGATCTCCGAGTGCAAAGGCCCCGTCACCCTCACGGTGGGATATGCAAAGTCTGCGGGTGAGGGTCTGAGCACAGACTTCGGCTGGGCTGGCAGCTGGAGCCCAGATGTTCTCCCCTTCGCAGCCTGGTCCTGCCCCACCCCGGAGAGGGGCCCGCCCTCGGGTCTGTCCTTGCTCTCCATGCGTGGCCATCTCCCTCCTGCCATGGCCAAAGGATCAGCACCCCCCAGGCCAGCCCTCCGTTCTGGACTCGCCAGCCCTGGGCCAGGTGACCCATGCAGGGCCGGCTGAAGCATTCACTGAAGCATCTCCCAACCCTAAGCCTCTTCCTTGCCCCTGGGATTCCTGCCCAGCTGCTCTGGCCTACAGATCCCTCTCCCATCCGAGAGACTGGGTAGGAAACCCACCTCCCCCCACAAGGGCCCCATTGCTGGGAACACTCCAAACCACAAACTGGCGATGTCCCCGTGGTAACTGGAACGCTCCTACCCGGGCTGCCCGAAGGGTCTGTATTGGGGTACGGAGCGGACAAGATGGGACCTGCGGGGTCCATTCCAGCTACACGTTTGGCACCGAGTCAGCAGGGATCCCCTACGGTGCCCAGCACTGGGACTGCCCTGGGCGTGTGAAGGGAAAGAGGGAGGGAAGAACACATGGGTTCAGGGGTACGACCCATGGCGCTGGGGCCAGAAGAGACAGGCAGGTGCACACACGCAGGGTAGAGTGAGAGATACAGGGGGGGGGGGAGAGACAGACAGACACAGGGACAGATGCTGCCTGCAACGATTCTTGCATCCATAACGTTGTCACGGCAACAAGCAATCCCAGCTGGCACGGGAGGGGGAGGGCGCTGAGCCTTGTGCTCAAGTGGGGGGGGGGAAATGGACCCACGTTTGTTCGCCTTGGTTAACTGCTCTATGCCTGGGGCAGGATCAAGGTCTCGCTTGGCCCCCATGGGTCCAGCCCCACCTCTCCCCGGCCAGTGCAGGGCTGGCCCTGCTGGAGCCCTGTCCTCGATGCTGCCGCACAGCAGCAGCTGCCCCTGGTCCTGGCACAAGCAGGTGCCACCATTTACTGCTTCTCCCAGCCCCACGCCCTGCTCTCAGCCTGAGCCTGGGCCCCGCTGAGTTCACATGGCTCCGAGCTCAGCAGCGGGCACTAGCCAGCCAGGCCTTCCCGCTGGGCTGGTGCTGCAGGAAAGGGAGGGGCCTGGAGCCCAGGGCCCCAGGCAGATGTGACCCCGCAAGCGGGTGGGGGGGAGTTACTCCTTGGACACTGTCTAATAGTGTGTGGAAAAACAAGTTGTGGTGCTCTGGCGGATTTCAATCTGGGGAAGGCATGCCGGAGATCTCATGCAGCCAGCAGTTAACTTTCAAAACTGTAACGATGATTCTAGATAACTTTTTACCACAAAAAGCATTACATCCAACCCGGGGAAACGCTGGACCTCATTATGATGGATAAAGATAAACTGCAGCTAATTGATCACAGAAGCTAAAAACACCAAGGAAAAATCTCTGGCTAAGAATCAGGGCTAAGCACATAAAGAAGCTTTAAAGTATGTTAGGAGCAAACGAAATCCTAGCGCTGGTACAGCCCCACTACTCGATGGAAAGGCTGGAAGTGTCGTAAGGAGGCAGAAACGGCAGCTGCGTTCAGTCACTATTTCTGGTTGTTTGTAAAGCAGCAGGAAGAGCTGGGTAACTATAGGCTGGTGAGCCGGACATCAATCCCAGGCAAAACAATGGAAAAGCGAACCAAGGAAGGCTTGGCGCATCGCTAAGACCAGTCAAGGTGGTTTCATGGAAAATAGGGCTGGTCAAAGAAACCGGATTTCATTTTTTGATGAGCTAACAGATTTGGCTGATAAAGGTGACCACATAAATGCAGTGTCTTTAGACTTCTGTAAGGCATTTGTCTTAGTACTGCCTAGTATTGTGACTGAAAAATCAGCGCTGTCCCCTCTGAACAGAACACACGTTAAATGGTTTAAGAACTGGCTGACATCTCCAACAGCAGTCGTCCCTGGGGACTCCTTGCCGAGCAGGGGTGTAGCCAGTGCAGCAGCACAAGGGTCGGTAGCAGGCCCCAGACTCCAACGCCTTCACCAATGATGTCGAAGTAAATCCCCGTGATCAAATCTGCCTGCGACACAGATTGGGGGAGCGGGGAATAACGAGGACAGTGTGGTCTGGATGGCTTGGTAAGCTGGGCCCATTCAACCAGAACATTTCCATACAGCCAGCGTTACACACCAGGAGCAAGGCAGGCAGACCACACCACCCAAGAAAGCAGCAACAGAGAAAGATCCTGGCGTCACTGCAGACAAGCAGCTCCCAAGAGGGATCCGTGGACGGATTTGCAGAGGGGTGATTCTCTCTCTGGTACGGCACTGGGGAGACAGACACCAGAATCCTGCATACGGTTCTGGTATCCGCATTTTAAAAGGAAGTTGAACAACCAGAGGGTGCAGAAAAGGGCCACCAAAGTGACTCGAGCTGGAGAAAACACCTGGCAGCAGGAGCGCAGCCTGCTTAGCTTGTCACAAGGATGACTGCGGCAACTGGATCCCATCGCAGAGGTACCGTCATGGGGAGAAAAGGCTGCAGAACAAGCCGCTCCACACTACTCCACGGGCATGCGCTGTCCCCAGGCCATGCACGAGTCAGCTGGAGCCAGCTCACAGCCCAGGCTGGACTCGACCTCCTAGTTCAGCGGGGAAGGGGCAGGGCTGGGCCCTGGGGCCAACCTGGTCACAGTTAATCTCGCTTCTTCGTGGAACTCACGGCTGCCTCACATTCACACCGCTGCTCAGTACTTCACCTCATCACTGCCTGTGGCCATGAGTTCCACAGGCTCCTCCCAGCCGGGGAGAAGCAGTTTCCCCTCTCTAAGCCTTGGCACCCCTCTACCACTGGCTGTCAGTGCCTCAGCCCCACAGCCGACCCTGGGGAGGGGCACAACTTCCTGAGGTCTCCAGGCTTCTGGCAGACTCGAGTGTAGCCTTGGCCTTGTCTCCACCCACCCTGCACAGCCGCCGCTGCCCTTGCCCCCTCCCCGAGGGTCCTGCCCCTGGGTAGCAGCAGTGGCTGGAAATGCCTGTACCCCGGTTGGTGCCCGCTCCTCTCAGATGCAGCCCGGCTGATCCAGGCCAGCGGTGCAGATCCATCTAGCACCAACCCCTCACCCAGCACAGCTCCAACAATGCTGCAGCTGCTCCATCTCCTATGCAGAGCAGGGAGACAGGAGCGCTGCTTGGGGGCCCTACACAACGCCAAGGGCCATGCCCACCGGTGCGCAGGTACACGCCCTGGGAGAAGGCTCCCAGGTCAAGGGGCCCCAGCTGTGGAGCTTGCAATGGCATGGGGCAGCGGGGGAGCCATGGGACTGAGCCACCAGGACTCTTGGGTTCCTTGCCCCACTCATCCTCCAGACACGGACAGGGTTGCAAACACACATGCCCACGTGGGCAGCGCCTGCAGACACAGCACCAGAAGGGTTAAACGGCCCTACCCCCACACTGGAGCTCTGGGGTCAGGACTGGCGAAGTGGAGCATGCCCAGACTCCACTGCATTTGGGAGACTGGGTTCAGGGAGGCTCCTGGGAGCTCGGGGGCGACACCCCAGAGGCCGTTCCAGCCTATCCCATGTTATTACTTTTGTCCCTTTTCACTTTGCCGTGGCCGGGGGGCATCCCAGTCCCCTGTGCTGGCTGCACCCTGCCAGGAGCCGCAGACAGCCAGAGCCAGGCCGGGCTCCCCCAGGACCAGGTGTGGCTCTGCCGTGCGTGCCATGGAGAACAGCGCCACCTGCTGGCACAGCCCACACAGTACCCGGGCTCCTCCACACACTCGGCTGCAGGAGGGGGCTGGGGGCTATGGTGCGGGAAGCCCGCAGGGCCAGAGTGGGAAGGCGGAAGGGAGAGGGTGGGTTCTTCCATGAGTTTTATTAGGAACAATCTGTAAATCCCCAGGCAGGTACAAATCCCTGAACAAATTCCCACTGGGCGCCGCAGCCACTGCAAACCCAGGGCTGGCCGGGGGGAGAGCCTGCGGAGCTCCACCAGGACAGCAGCTCCCCTCTCCACAGCCCGGGAGCAAGGCCCACCCACCGGGCACTCTCAGGGCCATCAGAGGTCAATTCGCATCATCTCCCGCAGGCAGATCCTGGCCCCTCAGCCCCTGACAGCCCAGCACCTGCCCCTAGCAGCCAGTCGGTCTCTGATCAGCAGGGCAAGGCAGCTCTCTGGTACCCAGCTGGCTTTGCACTCAGGGCTGTGGGAGACAGGTGAGCCAGAGGGCAGCCAGACTGGGCCGGAGCCGAAGAACGGAGCCGGCACCGGGGCAGAGAGCCCCAAGGGCGTCGCTGCACATGAGCGAATGGGGATCCGGGACCAGCCTGGCGTGGCAGGGGAGCAAGGGGCTGGCCCAGGCCGGTGGGGCTCTGCATGGGGTGACCCAGGTTAGCCCCGAGGGCAGAGGGATGGTCCAGGAACAAGGGGACAATGTTAAAAGTCTGAGTAATTGGAACCGGGGGTGGCTCTAATGGACAGGGGCCGCAGCCCGACCCTGCCCCTGGGCCACGCTCCCCACCCAGCCAGCCCCCGCAAAGAGCTACAGGAGAGGGGCCAGACTGGGTCAGGCCAATGGTCCATCTAGCCCAGTATCCTGTCTGCCGACAGGGGCCAGTGCCTGGTGCCCCAGAGGGCGCAAATCATCGCAGCGCAGACAGGCCCTAGCAGGGCAGAGTCAGTGTAACAGACCCGGGGCTCAGCCAATCAGAAGGCAGGAAGCAGAGAGCGTGGCTGAGGGAGGAACCTGCCCCGGGACAATTTTTGGTATGAAATAGCCATGGAAGAGCAGCCTGGGGGGTGGAGACTACAACTCCCAGCATGCCACACTGCCCTTCATCCCAACAGCATGGCTCCAGGGCATGCTGGGAGTCGTAGTACCCCTAGGCCTCACTCCATAATAAGGCAAAGGGGGCTGCAGCCAGCTCCAGTGCCCCCATAGGTGTGGGGCACAGTGCCCCCCCACTGGGCAATTCCAGCCCTCCCTGCCATTCCCTCCAGGCCAACCAACCCCGAGGCAGCCCCTGGGAGGGTGCCCCACCCAGCTCACATGGCTCCTTCCTAGGGAAGGGGAACCCGCAGCACAGCCAGCCAGGGCCCGATCCACACAGCAGCGAGTCCAGCCCTACGCCGGGGGGGTGACGCCCACTGGCTGGCGCTGGGTCACGGGGAGGCAACAGGCAGCAGCTGGAGGGGCCTCGGGAAGGCCCAGCACCGTGGCCATCCAGTCACTCGTGTGCTCACAAGGCAGCGTGGCCAGGCAGGAGCCAGCTGTCAGCCTGGGGACATCCGGCCTCCAGGCCCCTGCAACGACGGGGCCAGGGGAGGGCAGGGCCCTAGTGCTGAGCCAGCTTCTTGTCCAGCCCCTTGCTCTGGGGCAGGTGGCGGAAACGGCAGTCGGCCCCGTAGCTGCAGCCGGCGTTCCGCCAGAAATGGCACTCCAGGGTGGGGGGCACTCGCACCGGCTCCCTGCGGGCACACACAGAGGGTCCAGAGCCTGCCCACGCCTCATCAGCCCATCCCCCAAACAGCCCAGAGCTCCAGCCCCCCCACCGGCAGACCCTGGGCTGGGGTGCTACTGGGGATGGCATCATGCCAAGGCAGTACCTGGCCACGGCTCCAAAGGAGCATCCCAAGAACCTCACTGGGGAAATAATCCAAGCTGGCACTGGAGGGGTGGGGTGGTTCCTCCAAGCCAGAGCCGAGCAGAACCAGGGCACCTGGAGGGGCGCTGGGCAGCCCCCTCTGCGGGGCACCAGCAGGGGCCCAACTCCTCAGCCCTTGGGACAGCCTCGCTTCGGCTCCTCAGCTCCACATCTCAGCAGACAGCCAGGGGGGCCCCTGCCCACTCCTGCCCCGCTGCAGGCCCCAGCACTCCCACTCCCAAGGGCAGCACCTACCTCCCCATGGGCTGCGGGGCATTGCCAGGGCCAGCCCGACCAGGGGCCGGGGTTGCATGGTCAGGGTGCTTCAGCTGCAGCACAAACTTGGTTCCTTCCACTTCAGCTCCCTGGGGAGTAAGGGGCCGGTCAGCACAGGCCACCACATGGGGCGGGGCGCTCGCAGCGCTGCCAAGGAGCAGTGCAGGGAGGGCACCACGGCACAGCAGGAGACACGCCAACGAGGCAGGGTTCTGGGAGAACAAGGCGGCCCCGGCGCAGAGGGCCTGGGGGAGAGGCCGCAGGGAGAGCAGACGAGCCCAGGCTGGTGTCACCAAGCCGGTGTCGCTGGCACAGGCCCTGTGTGGACGGCCCGGCCCGGCCACGGGGCACTGAGGGAGGGTTCAGCTCACCCAGAGCTGACTGGGGCAAGTCTCCACGCAGAGTGCGTGCCCAGGGCAGGAGTGGGCAGCGAGCGGGGGAACGACAGAACCCACACGGGGCTCTGTCTCCACGAGTGAGAGCCCCAGATGAGCCTTCGGGTCCGGCCCCCCAGCCAGAGAGAGGCAGGATGAGTGGGCCCCTGGGCACAGCAGGCCTGGCCCTAGGAGACTGGTCCTGCCTGCTGCCCACCAGGCTGCATTGATGGCTGGTATCAGGGGCCTGCCGGCCCAGAGCAGCCTCTGCCAAGCCACATGGGCCAGTGCCCCCAGACCCTCTCCTGACCTGCAGGGCTGCGTAGGCCGCCTCCGCTGCCTCCTTCTTCGTGTAGTTGATGAAGGCGCAGTACTTCTCCGGGAGCATCCGCACCGAGTGGATGGGCCCAAACCTGCTGGGCAGAGAGTGGGCTCAGCCCTAGGCTCGGGGCAGCCGACACGAGGGCTCTTGTGCCAGCAGCAGGGAGACAGAGCCAGCGAGGGGGCCCTGGGTCGCCCAGGCTACTCCAGGGAGGGCAGGCTAATGCGCCCCAAGGCAGGCACGGCTCCCGGCCCCACGCTGCAGGGAGGTGCAGCCAGAGCCGGACGGGAGCGGCTATGGCCCAGAAGGCAGCGCTCCTTGGATTAGGCGGCCCCCAGGCTGGCCCTGTGGCAACTCCAGGCATGTGGCGCTTGCTAGCCAAGGCAACCTGGGGGGGCACCAATGGAACTGGGGCGAAGGGCCTGGAGGGGCACCAGCGTAGGGGCGGCCAGGGGTCAAGAGAGCCCCGGCAGGGGAGGGACAGGCTGGCAGGAGACACAAAGCAACAGGGCAGGGCAGGGTTTATGCCGCAGGGTCCACCCCAGCCGCACCGTGCCCCGCCCCCGAAAGGAAGGGGGGGGGGGGGGGGGTGGGAGGAGAATCACTCACCCCTCAAAACAGCTGCGCAGCAACTTCTGGGTGATCCTGGGGGTGACGTTCCCAACCCACACAGCGTACCACTCCCTGCCAAAGGCACACAGCACGGGGTCACCCAGCGAGACAACCAGAGTATCCCGCCCCCCCGCTGCACCCCCAGGCCCAGCGCCTGCCCCTCCCCTCCTCCAGGCCCAACACCTGCTCCCCCACTACACCCTCAGGCTCACATCCCTGCCCCCTCCCTGCCCCAGAGCCCACCCCTCCCCACACCCCCAGGCCCACCTGGCTCTTTGCCCAGGGCCCAACGCCTGCCCCACCCCCAGGCCTAGCAGGCTTTCTGCCCAGGTCCCAGATTCCTCCTCAAGCATAGCCAGAGTTGCACCCGGGACACTAGCCTGTTTCCCCCCCCAGCCCATCTCCCAGGCGCCCCGTTACCTGGCCTGATGCGCAGTGGCTACGGGGTGTCTGGTGCTAGCTGGGGTCTTCCTGCCGCTGGCCCGGAGCCCCTGCTGGGCTGGGCCTTTCCCTCGGCTCCGTGAGTTAGTGATGGTCACAAACCCGCTCTCCCCATCCTCGTCCCCCTCGGCGCAGCCACTGCTGCCCGGGGACCAGCTCCTGGCCCGCTCACCTGGGGGGACAGGCAGGCTGAGCACACCCCCGCTCCACCGGCACAGCGCTGTTCGGTCAGAGGCAGGGACAAGCGGGAGGCTGCTCACGAGCTGCACAGAAGACTCGGCCCCCACAGCAGGGACAAACTGAGGGCTGGGGGACTGGCAGATCAACCCCGAGCTGCTCCTCAAGCCCAATCAGCAGCCCCCTGCTATCCCAGACCTGGGCTCCCCATCCCCCCACAGCTCTGCCAGTGCCCCTCACTCCCGACCCACAGCCCCTGCTCCCCCACCCAAGCTCTGTCAGTGCCCCTCAGTCCCAGCCTGCAGCCTTCCCGCTCCCAACAGTTACTGGTTCCCCGAGGAAGACTGGGCCCAAGCCAGGTCTCTGCAGGGAAGCAGAGCTCCACACCCAATGATCCCCATGCCCCTGTGCCCTTACCAGACCCCGCCAGCTGAGACTCCGTGGCTCCCAGCGACGGCTCCATGGGCAGGCTCCTCTCACCGCTAAAGCTGCTGAAGCCGTTCTCCTGATGGAAAGGGAGCAGGTCAGCGGCCCAGCGCCACTCACCTTTCCCCAGCTAGTGAACTAGGGCTCTGATTCTGCTGACCATCACCCTGGTATCTGGGCACCTGCACATCAAATCAACCCGGGGTGGTGCAAGCGTCCTTGCAGAGAGAGGCCCCTGGCAGAGTTTCCCAGCATTGCCAGACCCCCTCGGGGATCTCCCCCTGCAGCAGGGCTCCTGGCTGGCCTGTGTTCTCGCCAGGGGTCAGAGCACGGAGCCCCTTGCCTCGGGGGCAGATTGGACACCAGGGGCTCGGAGGGGCTGCAGCGTCGTCTGTCCCAGCCAGAGCCCCCAGCCTGCAAGGGGTGATCCTCCCAGAGATGACGCCGGGCCCCCAGTGATGTCCCAGTATGGCTGGCAGGCAGAGATTATTCCTGCCTCACACGCTCTGTCCCGCGCAGGGTCCAAGCCAGCCAGCCCACCCCACACTCGCTCAGGCCATGCTGTGCCCACGGCTGGAGGGCCCGTCTCCCCCGCACCCCGTGTCAACAGCAGGGACACTCACCAGGATGAGCTGCACCTGGCACATTTCCAGCTGGGCGGCTGCGTCGGCATGGGACCTGTCCAGCCGCAGCAGCTCCAGGAAGGTGCTTTCGGCCTCGGCATAGCGCTGGGGAGAGCCAGGTAGAGTCACTCACTGCCACCCCCCACCGGGCCCAGCGCCTCCCCACTGCCCCCTGCCCCACAGGGCCAGGCACCTGCCCCCTTCCCCTGAGCCTAGCACCTCCCCCATCCCGCCTGCGCCCCAGGGACCAGGCACCTCCCCCACCTAGACCTGCCGCCCACTCCATGGGCCCCCCATGTCCCCGAGCAGCAGGGCCAGGCTGGGATTCAAGCCCTGGCTCCCACCCCCCACGCCCAGGTACCTGCAGCCCCATGAGGGCCTTGCCCTTGCGGAAAAAGCCTTTGGGCCAGCTGGGCAGGAGGCTCAAGGCCACGTGGGCGTCACTCAGGGCCTTGTCGTACTGCTGCATCCTCTCATAGCAGTACGAGCGGTTCCCGAAGAGTCTGCAGGGAGAGCGCGGTCAGCGAGCCTGCGCCAAGGCCGGCTGCCTGCCCCTGCCCCAGCCCCAAGCGCCCGGCAGCG